CCTCCAATTTTGCAGGCCTGTGTAATCAATGACGATAGATTTGACGCGAATTTAACCGTCAGAAGTCACAGTTGCAGTAACTGTGACTTCTGACGGTTAAGTTCGCGTCAAATCTATCGTCATTGATTATTCAATTAATGACGGGATGCATCTCTGAAATGTACGTCAGCCCATTTCCTTATTCATGACATCGATTCTGCCAAATTCTTGTCATGCATTTATAATGGACACAATCTTCGCAACTTTCAACCTTACTGTTACATAGTTACTCTACACATTTATTTATATAATTTTTTTGTGTTTTTTTTGGTACTGAAGAGGACCCAAATAATAGGGTCGAAACGTTTACCTAATGTCATAATTATACAATTTTATTGTTCATTAATAAATTGATTATTACACATAATATCCTGTGTCGGCTCTAATAGGCATTGAAAGATTTTTATTCATTAAATTTAATTTTTTACGTGTTATTTACGTCGTAATGACGAGATAGCCAACATAAGGCCATAGATTTAAGCGGGGAGCACATACCTTTGTGAAACGCATAGGCTGGAATCAGACTATGCATTGAAGAATGAGATTGAAGATTGTACGATTGATATTTAACCAATCAGAACAAAAGGAGCCAAAATTTCTTTGTCCTTATTGGTGAAATTCCAATCTTTAATTTTTAATCTCAATCTTCAATGCATAGTCTGATTCCGGCCTAACGCATAATGCATAAGAAGATGAACCAAAGTTTTGCATATAGATTGCATGCATAAATACATATATGAATAAATAAAGAAGATTTTTATTCATTAAAAAAAAAACAAATACCGTTTATTTGTCAAATTTGGTATTTAATTATTTATGTGTTAATTATTTATGTGTAATTTACTATAATGTATAATGCATACGGAAATGGGTCAAAGTTTCTTACTTCCTTTCTTTCCATACAATAGAGGACTTTGATTGGTTGATTCCTTTATGCCTTATGCGTTGTGCGTTATATAAAAGTCTGTACTCTTCGCTTTAGCATATATTACTTATTCTATTGTTGCTAGTTCAGAGAAAAAACCTGTAAGAGCTGCCGCAATTTATATTTTCGAACATTTTTCTTGCTACACGACGTTCCAGCTCTAATTTTGTAGGTTTTCAGCAGTAACTTCTAAAACATTCTCTTCTTACAATTACATAAAAAAAATAGTATCTATACGAAAGGGTTGGATTCCACACAGTAATCTCGAGCTTCTTACAGTACGATTCTTTCGACGCACAGATAAGTACGTAAATATCTCTTCTCATAAGAACACAGCTAAATTATAATA